TCGCCAACTACCGGACTGTCTGCCGAGACAGCGGCCATCGTCGCAGAAGTCGAAAGCTTGCTCCGACCACTAGCCAAGTACAAAGAGCGCTCCCACGTTACCTCCAAGACTCAGCACATTGCTCTTTTACAAAACCTAAAAGACAGCGACACAAGCCCGACTGTTGTTCTATTTGGCGACTCCATGCTTGAACGCATGATCACAACCGGGCAAAGCCCGAGTCTTGAGCCGTGGCCCTCACAGGCAATGCTCTACGATGCATCGGACAATGCTACGTCTCAATCAGAAAGCAAACAAGGCCGACTACAAGGCGTGGCCAACTTCGGAGTGGGCGGCGACAAGATTCAGAACATGGCCTACCGCCTCATCGGCAATCCCAACCCTGACCCAGCCAAGAGTCTTCCGGCGCTGGCATCCCTCCTTGCAGTGCGCAAAGAGGTCAAGTTGTGGATCGTGCACGCTGGCACAAACAATCTGCACCCCAAGAAAGGGCTGACGGATGGAGATCGAAATGCGTTGGCAGCGATGTTACGGGCAATTTTGGTGATCTCTTCTCCAGAGGTCGAGTGCAAGGTGCTATTGACGGGGCTGTTCCCGAGGAAGGATATTTCACAGAAGCTGATCAACGAAGCTAATGCTAAGTTGCTGGGTATCGTCGGGGAGCTGAATGGCGGATTGCAAAATGACCGTGTGGTGTTTTTGCCTGCTACTGAGGCCATCAGAACGGAAGACCATTTAGTTGACCATGTGCATCTCAGTCTGGAGGGGTACAGGATATGGACGATGGAGTTGTTTCCAGCTGTGATGAAGGTACTGGAAGGGTTTGAGGATGTGCGGTCATGATACCATCTTTGTACAAAAATGAACGGCAAAACATGCACCCGAGTGTGGAGCGAAGCAAAAATGATGATGTTTCATGGTTGGATCTCTGGAATGCCCAATAACAGGATTGAACTGTTGACCTTCGCATGACTTGATAGAACAGAAACTGCTACTATTAGTACGACGCTCTAACCAGCTGAGCTAATCGGGCTTGTATTTGATGAAAAACAAATGTCCAAAGGCTGGTCATGTCCACCTGTGGGTTTAATGGGTGGAGATCCCGTCGTTTTCATACCCTTCATGGATCAAGGTTCCGACAAATAAACGGGTTGCACTACCGTGTGGACATCAGACCTAGTGTTTTGCCCCTGACGTATGAACATAGGAAGAGAAGCCAGACTAAAGTTGCCATCGTTTAAGGGCATAATAGCAGTGCTTCCGTCTTCTATCCAAGATACAACTCTACATCATGTACTCACTCAACTCTACTCACTTCTCTGTACTGTCATCCATGGACCAACCAAGCCCTCATCGAGCTCCCTCCTCAACAGCCTCAACCACACTCTCCAGCGCCCCTTCATCCACCCTCTTCAGAAAATCAACCTTAAAGTGCTCCAACACATCATCGCCATCCTTGTGCCTCAACGCCTTCATCCAGCCCGCCAACCCATTTATAAACGCCTCGGCAGCAACCGGATCCGACACATCCAACGGCTGCAGCCCCTTCCCAACAATGGGCATCTGCACCGCCGCCAACCCCCCCTGCAACGCAAACTCGTCCTGGTAAATCGCCTCGACCGGCCGAATCGCGGCCGCCACCTTTCCACTCAAAATATCCCTCGGCAGATTCGGCTCCGAATTGGCCACCCTCGCCAACCCCACGCCATCCACGCTCTTCAGTGCATCAACCATGGCCCCGGCCGACTTGAGCCCGCCAGTGACATACGTCTTGGTCTTGGTCAGCCTCGGCGCGATCATCTCGGCAAACTCCAAGAAAAAGGCCTCCCTCTTCTTGGTGCTCTCCTTGCGGTGGTAGAAGCCCAGCTCCTCGTAGGTGCCCCCGCTGAGCTCGACAAAGTCAAACGTGTGGCGCTCGAGCAGCACGCACAGCTGCGCCGCGTCCTCGGTCGTCAGCCCGCCGGCCTGGAACTCGACGCTGTTGACCTTGATGGCCAGGATGAAGTCGGGGCGCGTCTGCGCGCGGATGCCATCTGCGATATCGGTGATCAGTCTTGCGCGGTTCTCGAGCGAGCCGCCGTAGGCGTCGGTGCGCAGGTTGGTGGTCTCGGCGAGGAACTGGGCCAGCAGATAGCCGTGCGCGCCGTGCAGCTGGACGCCGTCGAAGCCAGCTTTGTCGAGGACGACGGCGGCGTGCACGAAGGCGGCGGTGATGTCGCGGATCTCGTCGAGGGAGGCGGGGTGCGGCTTGGCAAAGGTCTCGCCCAAGAAGTCAAAGTGCAGCTGCACGTCTGAGGCCGAGACGGGGTCTGGCTGGATGCTCGCGACGGCCTGGCGGCCTGGGTGGTTGAGCTGGCCGAGGATGAGGGAGCCGTGGGACTTGCCCGCTGCGGCGAGGGCTTGGAGACCGGTGAAGAGCGGGCTGGTGGGCGAAGGGTCGGCTGTGATGGGCACGATGGTGTTGCCTGGGCTTTCAATGTTGGTGCGGTCGATGAGCATGTTGCCTGTGAGGATGACGCCAAAGTCCCCTGCTGACCAGGCGCGGTAGAGGGTGGCGAGCTCGGGGCCCGGGATGCCTTGGCGGGATTGGTCGGTTGGGTGCCAGCTGGCCATCTTCTCGGTTGTGCTGGCTTTCATGAACCGGTTCTTGGCTGTGCGGCCTGAGAAGGGGAAGGTGAGCGGCTGGCCCAGGGGGGAGGAGTCGACCCCTGGGCGGCCGGGGTATCTGTTGGACGACATTGTCTTGAGCAAGTGAGGAAGAGATGTACACGTGGGCAAGGTATTCAGATGAGTGTAGACTGCAATGATGATAGCAAGACTGCAACTTTGACACGGAGCCGAAAGCCAACTACATATAAGCGTTACACGATGATGTCCAAAGCAAAGCCAAAGCAATACATGTATCCCGCCTTAGTCGATGTTGCATTGTATCGACTCCCGGAGACTTTTGTAATGATTTGTTGTTTCACCCCGATTTACCCGTTGCTTGAGAATCAATTACCCCGACCGCAATTGGTGGTTGGTAATCCACAAAAATCCGAGACCCTGAATTGCAGCATGCCGAGCTCACACCCTCGGCATCTAGTTCTCTAAAAGACTAGAACTATTCGAGCTGGTCTAGATAGGTCTCTCTTCTTCACTGTGCACTCACTATGTTTGTAATGCTGGATCATTGACTTGGAAAATAATCCAATCTCTCAGCTGTATGAAGACTGATGGCCACGACAAAATATCAAACCAATCAAACCAATCAAACCAATCAAACCAATCAAACCAATCTATGGAATAGCCTTTGACCCGGCCCTCGTAAGACTCCACGCAGCAAAGATAATCTCTGAGAATCCCAAACGTCCATCATCAACATCGGCAGTGTAATACTCCTCCTTCTGTGGCAGTTCGGCCAAAACAGGCGGGCTCGACAGGCCCAAGGCACACAGCCTCTCCAAGTCCCAAAAGTATAGGCCCATCCCCCCGAGCTCGTCGTACTGGTCCCACCCGAACAACTGGAACAAGTCCTCCCTGTAGTCTGTATCCGGGTGAAAAACCACCTGGCTGTACCTATGCTCTACCAGGATCCACACGTTCGGACGCATCACTGCATCTCTGTCCCGCCGCGCGTATGGCAGATCTATCGGAATTGAAGACGTAGAGCAGATGAGGCTCGGGGTTGGTTATGAAGTGCCACCCCACCCAGGGCATATGCATGCGAACCCAGACATACAGTTCCAGCTGCAAGATGGACCGCTTGACCCGATAAGCCTCCGCCCACGACGGCCTCAGGGACGAGGCCGCCTGGCCGAGCGGCTCGCGATGGCCCGTGGCCTTGGCCAGCTCGGATGGGTCCCTCGCCCATTCAGGAAGAGATCCGGCCACTACATCTGTTTGATCCCACGTGGCTGGGGCGCCTATATAATCCATCGGGGGCGAATTGGAGCTGACGTGAAGCTTAACCGGACACAGGACTGATACTCTTCGCAGCAGCTCGTCGAGCACATGCGGGACGAGGCGCTCAGTATTGGCGGCGATGGCTAGAATCGCACGCAGGGTCGGGCTTGGTATGTCTTTGAACATGGGACGGCCACCATCATCGTTATCTGTGGATATGATGTAAGCCGAAATGAACTGGAAGTTCGTGGTCGTCCGTGGTATGGCTTCTGTCATGCAAGACACGAGGAGGCGAAGTGTCTTGCGCAGCTCTGTGTCCAGAGTCCTCAAGGCGATCGCGTCCATTATCTCCCCCCCGTGGACGTCGAATAGTCCCTTGGCCGCCCTTGACGCCTTGATCAGACATTCGAGCGTGTCAAAGCTCGCAATCTCCAAGGCGATAAAAAGCGGGAGCGGCGAGGGCAGGGTCGCAAAGAAGTCCATCTTGTTCAAGGATATAAGTCCAGTGGTCGTGCTACCAGTCGTTGCCAGTGTTGAACGCGCAGATACTGAGGTCTATGTAGGTTAGATGTGTGCCCCGATATGCAAGGCTGCTGCGCCGTAATCAAGCAGCACTCTAAGCAAGGTAGGTAAGGTAGGTAGGTACCTACCCATCACACTTTGGGAGTCGCTGCGGGCTTGAAAGTTGCCAACATTGAAGTGTCTCTCTCACATTGATGCGCACAAACCCACACCCAACTACTATTACAGACTTTCACAACCCAGTCAGTCTCGGTATTCGTGCTGATCATTGGCCAATCGATACAGAGCATTGTTGGGACGACTCGGTATCCCTGGTGATCCCTTGCGCGGCGAAAACAATTCCGTCTCCTTCCGCGTCTATAACTATGGCAGCAAGCTTCAGGCCTAATGCAACGGAGTAGAAAGCAATCCTACGACAGTGGCGAAGTGCGCCACGATAGCGCCTTTCAGCTCAAAAACGGCGCAGACGACGACCCTCACCTACGCTGCTTCTTATTATGGATGCATATACATCGCATCCATAATAAGAAGCAGGACAGAGAAATATGACTATCATTCAGGTCAACACGTCGTGACAAAAATATAAAAGTTTCGGGGCTGACCGGGGATTGAACCCGGGACCTCTCGCAGAAGAGCTGTTTAGCCAATCCCAAAGCGAGAATCATACCTCTAGACCATCAGCCCAATTCCATGAGATTCCGATGGTTGTTTTCGGTGGCATTTTATGATTATGTAGCCGTCAGGTGCCTTTGAATAACAGAAAAAAAGACAGTTCTCATGCAAGTGTGATCTACCCTCTGTTCGTTGTCAGAGACAATATCCCTTTAAAAATTGTAGGCGTATCCTCAAAGATACGCTAATATTGACCTACTTAGTTCCGTTGCATAAAGTCCACCGTATTATTCTTGCAAACAATGACCGGGTGTGGTCACTGCAGTAAACCTACTCCCTCCACCTCACCACCCAATCCCCCTTTGCAAAGCTCGGCTCCACCACCTTCCCCTGCATCACAGCTTCGCATTTCCTCGTCTCATCACCCCCAACTCCAAACCCAAACACCACACCTCTCCTTGCCGCACATCTAACCATCTCCTTCTCATGAGCCCTCCTCTTGCCGTCCTCTCTCTTCTCCCTCATCTCCTCTGTCTCCTCAGACCGCTCCGCCCAGCCCTTCTCCCCACCCACGCTGCCATTCACCTCTGACACCGTCTGCGGCGGGCGGATGCGCGTGCCGCTGCGAACCGACATGCGAGCAAGCACGTCCCCGTCTATGACGGCGCGTTTGTCATGGCCATCCAGGTCCAGATCATCATCATCGACAACATCCTCCACGACCTCGCCCCTGGTGCCGGAATTTGACTGATGCACGTCTTCATCCACATCCCTCAACACCCTCGACGCCCGATTCTTCTTGCGCCCAAAGACCTTTGCCGGATCACTCCGATCGCCAAAGACGTACTCCTCCACCACGTCACACGGCACGAGGATGCGCGCATCGCTCTTGATCTTCTTTACTGATTTGACCACGGGCACGGCTTCCTCGCCGGTTAGGAATTTGACAAATGCATTCTCAATCTCGCGATCTATGTTTCTTGGTTTTTGGCTGCGACAGCGGGTCGAGCAGTATTTGGCTGGTGTGGCGGCGGTCTTTGTCGCGTCGGCTCTGCGGGAGCTGATGACGCGACCGCAGGACCGGCAGTAGGGGATCTCGTGTTGCTCGCCGTCTTTTCCTTGGGTGGCGGGGAGGAGGTAGAAGGTAAAGCTGGGGTTTGTTGGTGCTTGGAGGGGCGGGACCACGAGTCCATCCAGCTCATTGTGGCGGTTGGTTTTGTTGCGGAGTAGTATAGTTGGTGATGGGAGGTCTTGTAAATTGTGCATCAATGGAAGGAGGGATAGAAGCTGGATAGAAGGGATCTGCAAGATCGGCTACGTCATCAACCGTCAACCCGCACCTCCCCCCTTAATTCCAGTGCCATACCCCTTTCGTCAACATCACGTCAGGGGTCAGCAACAAATTAGGATCAGATTGTACATGAACTGCCTAACAGAATGAACTGCCTAACAGAATGAACTGCCTAACAGAATGATCTGCCTAACAGAATGATCTGCTTCCAAAATGCCATATACCAGTACTTAATCATCAACCCAGAAAACATTCCAACTCTGTAATTAGCACAACAATCCTCCATCTCAGTTCCATCACATCACACATTCACCATGGCGTAATAATCCACATTCATCTCCGGCATCACCTTCTTGCCCTGCCCACTTCCGCCCGCACCAGCAAACACCAAACTCCCCTCCTCCACACTATCCTTCCACGCAATAACCAAAGTATCAGCCGCCTTCTTGGTCACCTTCAACGGCGGCACCTCATTCGGCCTCAGGATGGCCGTCATGACCTGCGCCCACTCCCACGGCTCGCTCAACCCGCCCGGCTCGCTGTTGAAGTACTCCCAGCCCATCACGCCGCCGATCTGGCCATACTCCTTCCTCAGCGCGACAATCGTCGCATTAAACTTGTCATACGGCACCCACTGCCCGCCGCCCTCGGGCGTGGTGATCTGCCCAGCCAAGATCTTCCTCGGATCCCACCCCTGCTTGATGACCCGCTCGTACTCGGCCGGCGTGGCCATGCTGCCGAACCCATTATAAAACTGCGCATTGTAAAACTGTATATCATCCCCAACAGCAGTCTCGAGCGTCTTGTAGCTGAACCCGCTCAGATTCGCCCCGTTCCGCAACGCCGACGCGACCGGCGCCAGCGTGATGATGAAGCCGGGCCCAAAGTCCACCCTCAGCCTCCTCACCAGCCGCGTAATCCCCGCCTGGCTCATGTCCTGCTCGACGTCCAGATCCATGCCCTCGAGCCCGAAATTCACAATGGCGTCGCGCAGCTGGGCGTAGTAGGCCTCGAACGTCATGGGGTTGGTCGAGTCGAGCGTCTGGGTGGAGAAGGAGCCGGGGGCGGCGCCGCCGACCATGCCGATGACCTTGACGCCCGCCTGCTTCATTAGGAGGGTCTCGTTCCACAGGGTGTAGAAGCGCGGGTGCTCGGGCGGGTAGTCGTTGAGGTGGACGACGCCGTTGGGGTTGACGTGCAGGGAGCAGACGATGAGGTGGGTCAGGGCGATGTTCTTCTCGGTGATGAGGGGGAGCATCGAGATGGGCAGGTCGTTGGCGTCGTGGGTGGTTTGGTAGTAGATGACGAGCCGGGGGAGGGGGGTTAGGAGCTGCTCGATGGTGGTGTCGACGGCGGCGTCGGCGTCGACCGGGGAGTTGGGGAGGGGGAGGACATTGGACGGTGACGTGGCTGGTTCTGGGGCTTCTGTGGTGCTTGCTGTCTCTGAGGCTGTTGCAACTTCTGGGGCTATTGCGGATTCTAGAGCTTCTGGAGAGTCTGGAGCTGGGCTGGGAGCTGTGGGGAATGCGCTTGATGGTCTCGCGGTCAGCAGGAGCGCAAAGGCTCCTTGGAGAAAGAGGGCCAGCTTCATGATATTCTCGGTTGGCCTTTCTTTTGTGGTTGGCTTGGCTGGGGTTTGTTTCCAAAGTCCAGCTGATGGGACTGGATTCACCCTGGGCGGGCCGAGGCATGAGCAAAGTTAAATGGAAAGGACAGAAAAGCTAAGAAGTATGTATCTAGGCACATGCTTAAAGGCATCGTGCGATAGCACGCAACACCGAGGCTTATCGAGCAGGGGGCAGACAGGCACAACATGGTGTCCAAGCAGGAACTCCGAAGGATGGTGAAGATTAGAGTATGTAACCTCCATCTCATCGTCAAGACTTATCGAGATCGTGTGGGTGTATTATCTCGGACTATCTTTTTAAATTGTGTCAAAATTGTGTCAAAATTGTGTTAAAATTGTGTTAAAATTGGTAGCAGATACTTGACAGGACAGGAAGCTGCTATCACGAACTTGGAGTCTTGGTTGGAACTCGACTGGCGATATCGACTGATAGCATTTCAACAACCTTTGAGGATTCAAAGTGCCGTGCATCCACGCCTGTAAGCTAGCAGCTGGTTGTCGGGTGACGATGACAGCTGTGCAACGTTGCTGCAGCCAACGACATGTTCTGGCTTCACCACTCCTTTTCGCACTGGACCCTGGACCCTGATTTCAAAGATTCTGCGACGGCGATTGGCGCATGCTATCAAGGTTCCCAGAGTGGGGGAGGGAGAAGCTAAAGCCTAGGCAACAGCCTAGACTATGTTAGGCAGGAGGCTAAAAAAAGCGTAGGGTTGGGGTAAGACGGGAAGCCGACTTCTCCTTCCTCTCAAAGAACAACTGGGTTTCATTTTGTGCTGTGACGACATCTCGGCTTCTTGCCGGATTGTGACCTTGTGATGCTTCACCGGGCATGTCAGGTGCATTCCCAATGTTGCAGCAGTAGAGTGATGTCAATGGTGAAGCTGCAACCTAATGGACTTATACGACAAAACTGCTCCGCGACCTCAGCTCAGGACCAAGATGAATTACATTCTGCTAATTACCAAATCTTAAGATCTTAATTTTAAATAGAATCTTTCCCCCCCCCCCCCCCCCCAAAAAAAAAAAACCACATGCAAACTGTTTGACTGACACACAATACTCACCCTTGTTCTAGCGTCCAATTCGCAGAGCGCCGGACCACGACCAGAGAAAAGCCATCAATCAACTTGGCGTCGTACACCGCTCTCTAGCTTCATTGCGCAACCTACAACAAGTCTAAACATAATGCATGACGTAAATTTCTTCCAGCTTGGTCAACATGTGAAACTTGTTCATAGTGTTGTCTCCTAAGTCCTAAGAGATGGACTAATCTCCAGCATCTTCAATTGCTGCGACAACATAGCAACATGGGCTCAACACCACCAAAGATCAAAATCGCCATTGCAGGCGGGGGCATCTGCGGACTCGCCCTTGGCGCGGGCCTCTGCAAAAAGCCGCATCTGGACGTGCACATCTACGAGGGCGTGTCCGAGTACAAAGATGTCGGTGCCGGCCTGGCACTGCATCTGAACGCCATCAAGGCCATGGCTCTCATCGGCCCCGAAGTGAAGAAGGCATACTTCGACACGGCCACCAACATGGGCGAGGAGGAGGAAGAAATGTCCACCGAGGTCATTCTGGCACACGGTCCACACATGGGGGAGCTGGTAGCAGAACTCGGCAGAGCAAAGGGTCGGAAGAGCGTCAGCAGAGCTGACCTTCTCGCTGCTCTCCTCAAGCTGGTCCCCAAAGACTGCATCACCTTCAACAGGAAGCTTGCTCGGATATGGGAGTCTGCCAGCGGCTCTGAGGACGATGCCAAGGTTCATATCGCCTTCAAAGACGGCTCCGAAGCACACGTTGACTGCCTGCTTGGCGCAGATGGCATCCACAGCGTCGTCCGCGGCTACCTCCTCGGCCCCGACCATCCCGCCACTGCTCCCAAGAACCACGACCGCTGGCAGGTATACCGCACCATTGTCTCCGCCGGAGAGGCCAGAAAACAGATCAACGAGAAGTGGACTCGCACCGTTCCCATCCTGTTAGGACCCAGAGGCCATGTGAACTGCATCCCACTCAACAAGGGCACAAGACTAAGCGCCGGCGTTGCCGTCCGCGGCGCAGCACTATCCGACGACAACGGCGAGGCAAAACCTCTCGACCCTTCCTTGTATTCCGACTACAGTGAGGACGCACAACGCATCGTGCAGA